GCGCAGGATATCGTCCAGACCCTGGAATATGAGGGCATATAGCGCAGGATATCGTCCAGACCCTGGAATATGAGGGCATATAGCGCAGGATATCGTCCAGACCCTGGAATATGAGGGCATATAGCGCAGGATATCGTCCAGACCCTGGAATATGAGGGCATATAGCGCAGGATATCGTCCAGACCCTGGAATATGAGGGCATATAGCGCAGGATGTCGTCCAGACCCTGGAATATGAGGGCATATAGCGCTGGATATCATCCAGACCCTGGAATAATAAGTGGAGTAAATGAAAAGAAGTGTCAAACGGCTAGACCATTTTGAGTGTCAGGGGAAGAAGAAGATGGTCTAGCCGTTATTTAAGGCGTCTTATATTATAGAAAATTTATACATTATGCCTCGTATATATTCATCACAAATCATTGATGAATGCACTCACTAGCACGACTCCGGTTGCTATGGTGGAGATGGAGGTGGTGATGGAGTCCAACTGGTTCATGTCACTCACTCCCTGCTTCTCCACGCCAGCTGTCACTTTCTGGGGGCAACATTTGTTTATAGTTACTTGATAATGAAGAAATAAATGCTAATACCCTTACCAATAACATGTAATTTTTACAAGTACAGCACTAAAGACAGTTGAATTTCCAGGAAACATGACATACATCCTCAATGACCTCCATGACCCCAATAACCACCCTAGAATCCATGACCCCAATAACCACCCTGACCACCCTGACAACCCTGACCTCCATGACTACCCTGACCACCCTGACCACTCTGACCACCCTGACCACCCTGACCACCCTAACCACCTTGACCACCCTAACCACCCTGTCCAACCTGACCACCTTGTTCACCCTGACCATCCTGACCATTCTGACCACCCTAGCCACCCTGACCACCCTGACCACCCTAACCACCCTAACCACCCTGATCACCCTGACCACCCTGACCACCCTGACCACCCTGACCACCCTGACCACCCTGATCACCCTAACCACCCTGTCCACCCTAACCACCCTGACCACCCTAACCACCCTGACCACCCTGTCCACCCTAACCACCCTGACCACCCTAACCACCCTGACCACCCTAACCACCCTGACCACCCTGACCACCCTAACCACCCTGTCCACCCTAACCACCCTGACCACCCTAACCACCCTGACCACACAGACCTCCATGATCTCGAGAACGACGTCCCTGGACTCGAGGCCGATGGTCATGGCCGCCTGAGGCGACTTTGAGGCGGCACTCATGATGGCCGCAGTGGCCGCGCTTGCGGCGGCCAGACCACTGGAGGACTCAAAATTTGAGTTGTCGCGGATGTACTCAAGGGACGCCTGGTTCTGAGTGCCCAGGACCAGCTGGCGACGTCTCAGTTCTTCGGGGCTCAGTGTCGGGTCCGTTAGGTTCAGCCAAGGGGCCTACGAAGAGAACTCTACTTAGCCCACGAGTTAAGGGTCTACTTAATGAGTCAGGCTTAATAGGGCGTGTAGAACTGATCTAGAGCGGGTCTACTTAGCCCTCGAGTTATGGGTCTACTTAATGAGAGGAGGTATAGCCCCCGAGTTATGGGTCTACTAAATGAGAGAATTATGGGTCTACTAAATGAGAGGAGTTATAGCCCACGAGTTATAGGTCTATCTAATGAGAGGAGTTATAGCCCACGAGTTATGGGTCTACTTAATGAGAGGAGTTATAGCTCAAGAGTTATGGGTCTACTTAATGAGTCAGGCTTAATGGGGCGTGTAGAACTGATCTAGAGCGGGTCTACTTAGCCCACGAGTTATGGGTCTATCTAATGAGAGGAGTTATAGCCCACGAGTTATGGGTCTACTTAATGAGAGGAGTTATAGCCTTCGCTTATGGGTCTACTGAATGAGAGGAGTTATAGCCCCCGAGTTATGGGTCGATCTAATGAGTCATGTTTAATGGGGCGTGTAGAACAGATCTAGAGCGGGTCTACTTAGCCCACGAGTTATGGGTCTACTTAATGCGAGGAGATATAGCCCACGAGGTATGGGTCTACTTAATGAAAGGAGTTATAGCCCACGAGTTATGGGTCTACTTAATGAGTCAGGCTTAATGGGGCGTGTAGAACTGATCTAGAGCGGGTCTACTTAGCCCACGAGTTAAGGGTCTACTTACTGAGTTAGGTTTAATGGGGCGTGTAGAACAGATCTAGAGCGGGTCTTAAGTATATATATATCCCAGGGGACAACCTGCGTCCCCTACGTCACAGAGGACAACCTGCGTCCCCTACGTCCCAGGGGACAACCTGCGTCCCCTACGTCCCAGGGGACAACCTGCGTCCCCTACGTCACAGGGACAACCTGCGTCCCCTGCGTCACAGGGGACAACCTGCGTCCCCTACGTCACAGGGGACAACCTGCGTTGTCCCCAAACAACCTGCGACCCCTACGTCACAGGGGACAACCTGCGTCCCCTAGGTCCCCTATCGTCCCCGCCGTCCCCTGCGCCACAGGGGACAACCTGCGTCCCCTGCGTCCCATATCGTCCCCGCCGTCCCCAGCGTCACAGCGGACAACCTGCGTTGTCCCCAAACAACCTGCGTCCCCTACGTCCCAGGGGACAACCTGCGTCCCCTAGGTCCCCTATCGTCCCCGCCGTCCCCTGCGTCACAGGGGACAACCTGCGTCCCCTATCGTCCCCGCCGTCCCCTGCGTCACAGGGGACAACTTGCGTCCCCTGCGTCCCCTAGGTCCCCTGCGTCCCCGCCGTCCCGTCACCTTGGCGTTGACGGAGGCCCTGGCAGCGATGATCATCGTCAGTAGGTCGCTGCTGCCCGCCCCCGCCAGGCCCGCCAGCACCGAGTCCAAGTCGGCGGCCGCCACCTCCGCCTCCGTCACCATCGTCGCCTGCAGCGCCACATGACAGGCAACATGTCAACATACAGGCAACATGTCAACATCCAGGCAACGTGTCAACATCCAGGCAACGTGTCAACATCCAGGCAACGTGTCAACATCCAGGCAACATGTCAACATCCAGGCAACATGTCAACATCCAGGCAACATGTCAACATCCAGGGAACATGTCAACATCCAGGCAACATGTCAACATCCAGGTAACATGTCAACATCCAGGTAACATGTCAACATCCAGGTAACATGTCAACATCCTGACAACATGTCACAACCCTGGCAACATGTCCCAACCCTGACAACATGTCACAACCCTGGCAACATGTCACAACCCTGGCAACATGTCACAACCCTTACAACATTTCCCAACCCTGGCAACATGTCACAACCCTGGCAACATGTCACAACCCTGGCAACATTTCACAACCCTGGCAACATGTCACAACCCTGGCAACATATCACAACCCTGGCAACATGTCACAACCCTGACAACATGTCACAACCCTGGCAACATTTCCCAACCCTGGCAACATTTCCCAACCATGGAAACATTTCCCAAGCCTGGCAACATTTCCCAACCATGGAAACATTTCCCAACCCTGGCAACATGTCACAACCCTGGCAACATGTCACAACCCTGGCAACATTACCGGCAACACGACAAGTCTCCGTCTGTCCACCCACCACAAAGTCCACGGCCACCTGGTGGACGGTGAAGGCCCCCCACGCGTCGTCCACCACCACCTGGATGTCGAAAGTCCCCACGGGGAAGACGAGCTCCAGGGTCTGGTCCCCATTGCTGACGTGGGGCCTCCCCACCAGCACCTCAGGTGGGGGGCGCGTCCCCGTCAGGTCTGGGCCGTGGACCACTGCCCTCCGGGGAGCAAATTGCAGATTTTTTTTTCAAATTGCGTTGAAAAGTTTGACAAAAATTCAGATTTTTTTTCAAATTGCGTTGTAAAGTTTGTCAGATTTTTTCAAATTGCGTTGTAAAGTTTGTCAAAAATTCAGATTTTTTTCAAATTGCGTTGTAAAGTTTGTCAAAAATTCAGATTTTTTTAAATTGCGTTGTAAAGTTCGTCAAAAATTCAGAATGTTTGAAGTTGCATTGAAAAATTGTAGAAAAATTGTTGATTTTCAGACAATTCAGTGAGAACTAAGAACGAGACAATATAGTTTGCGTTGAATATATGCCCTTACGTTCAACTTTGTACTCTAGGATGCCGATGAATATATATAAATATATATATAAATCATATAACAATATAATATATATATATATAGTATACATATATAAAAATATAATATAAACATTGAGATGCCCACAAGATTGACTTTGTACTCTACGATGCCGATGCATATATATAAATATAAATATAAATCATATAACAATATAATATATATATATAATATACATATATAAATAATATAATATAACTTGGGATGCCTTCACGTTGGACTTTGTACTCTAGGATGCCGATGAATATATATAAATTTATATATAAATTATATAACAACATAATATATATAATATACATATATATAAATAATAAACATTGGGATGCCCTCACGTTGGACTTTGTACTCTAGGATGCCGATGCATATATATAATTATATATGAAAATCATATAACAATATAATATATATATATAATATACATATATAAATAATATAATATAACTTGGGATGCCCTCACGTTCAACTTTGTACTCTACGATGCCGATGCATATATATAATTATATATAAATCAGATACCAATATAATACATATATCATATACATATATAAGTATACTTATATAAATAATATATTAAATAATATAACATAACTTGGGTTGCCCTCACGTTGGACTTTGTACCCCAGGATGCCGATGAATATATATAAAATATATATAAATATTAATAAATTATACAAAATATAATAGATTTATATAGTATACATATATACATTTACATTATATACATTTTAAATAGTATAACTTAGGTTGCCCTCACGTTCAACTTTGTACCCCACGATGCCGATGCCCTCAGGGTCGGTCCAGCCGTTGCAGGTGAGGGTGAAGGTGTCGAGCAGCGCCCTCCCTGTGGGGGGGTACACGCGGCACACGGTGTTGGGGGAGGTCGCTGTCACGGGGGGCACCGTGGGGTCGTGGTATGGGGCCGTGGGGGGCTGGTTCACGATCATGAAGTAGGTCGTGGCCCCTGAACACCATATTTGCTTTAAATATTATTATTTTAATTAGGAATGAAATTTATTGAAAATTTAATAAATTACGTAAATTTTTTTCTGAACACCATATTTTATTTAAATATTACTATTTTAAGTAGGAATAAAATTGATGAACAACGATATTTTATTTTATATCTTATTATAAGTGTGAATAAAATTTAATGAAAATTAAATAAATTACGTAGATTTTATATCCGTGTGTCACATGACAGGAATCATCCGTATTAATTTGTTTTAATATCTTATTATAAGTATGAATAAAATTTAATGAAAATTAAATAAATTACGGTAATTTTGTATACGTTTTTCACACGACAGGAGTCATCCAGTATTATTAAGATGGATGAACGTATTAATTATAACTGTCATGAGCCTAGGCGGGGAATGTGGGGAAGTCTGGCCATGCTGAGGACAGGAGGGGAGGGTGGGGAAGTCTGGCCATGCTGAGGACAGGAGGGGAGGGTGGGGAAGGCTGGCCATGCTGAGGACAGGAGGGGATGGTGAGGAAGCCTGGTCATACTGAGGACAGGAGGGGATGGTGGGGAAGCCTGGCCATGCTGAGGACAGGATTTTGTAAAGTCTAGATTTGCGGGAATAAAAAATTTCATTTATTTAATTATAAAGATTATTTTGATTTCACCATTAAAGTCTATTTATGAAATTAAAGATTTGTAAAGTCTAGATTTGCGGGAATAAAAAAATTCGTTTATTTAATGAAAAAGATTATTATGATTTCACCATTAACTTATTGACTTAATTCAAGCACAATAACACAATGTTAAGCACAATTCAAGCACAATAGCACAATAACACAAGCACAAAATTATCACTAGGTCGACCAGTATCAGAGCATCCCTCACCCCCGGGGATGGTGATGGGGGTGACGCCCCCCTCGAGGGCAGTCCACTGGGTAGTGACGACCCCGCTGCCGCAGTCGGCGACGCAGGCGCTCACCATCGCCAGGCGGGCCGAGGGGTTCACTATCACGCCCCTGCCCGTCCCTGACGCTGTGCACAGCTTAGGCGAGATGCAACTGCCGGGACACGAATATTCTTATTATCATAATTAATAATAATGCGAGGCGTGTTTCTAAATATAAATTATTACGCCTAACGGACGTCTTTAAAATACGTCTAACCGAGGTCTTTAAATTACGCCTAACTGCCGTCTTTAAATTACGCCTAACTGCCGTCTTTAAATTACATTTAACCGCCGTCTTTAAATTACGTCTAACCGATTTCGAAAAATTACGCCTAACCGCCGTTTTTAAATTACGCCTAACCACCGTCTTTAAATTACGTCTAACCGATTTCGAAAAATTACGCCTAACCGCCGTTTTTAAATTACGCCTAACCACCGTCTTTAAATTACGCCTAAACGCTGTCTTCAAATTACGCCTAACCGACGTCTTTAAATTACGTCTAACCGACTTCGAAAAATTACGCCTAACCGCCGTCGTCGTCTTTAAATTACGCCTAACCGCCGTCTCTGAATTGCGCTTAACCACCGTCTTTAAATTACGCCTAACCACCGTCTTTAAATTACGCCCAGCCACCGTTCAGCGCATGCGCGTCGTGTAACTACATCTGTTGGGAAGCCACAGACGCCATTACGGAACCATTTAGTCGAGTCTGCATCTGTTAACGTTATTTTAAATTGCCTCCACCTATTGAGAATCCCAACGATTGTGAAGTACGTGTGTTTCGCTGTGCTCAAGGCTTCAAATCAGTTGACATTATCACCAAGTCAATGCAGTGTTTGGTGAAGACATTAAGATTGGTGGAATGGTGCAGAAATGGGTTAGGGCCTTTAAAGAATAAACTGTATAAAGATAGGTTAGAGCCTTTAAAGAATGGACCGTGAAGGGAAACAGAACAGACGATTCACTATTCTTCCTCAGCTAAAAGTTTCCAGCCTCAAGAATTGTTTTTCACAAAATTGTCTTATCGGGCGGCAAGCTTCTTTGACGATGGCACACAAATGCTGGTCACAAGATAAGATAAATGCCTCAATGTTAACGGGAATTATGTATGAAAGTAGAGCAAAGTATGGCCTTTCAAGTGACTGAATTATGTCTGGAAAAATCTACTTTTTTCATGCCGATGCGGTACTTGCTGTAAGAAAACACCGCGTGATAAATATTATTTATCCTTTGATTTAAATCGTATAAGGAACATTAATTACTACGTAGACGTTGTACGGCGCGTACGGACTATACGAAAAAATGTTAATTCAGCTGGAGAGGCACTCGAGTTTGGCCAGAGCTTTTTTATCACTAAATCAATGCCAAAATTTTTGAAGGTTTCGAATTTAATTTTAAATTGATGCCCCGCATGCGAAGAGCATCAGGTCACCAACACTACAGAATGAGGTCCCAGCTCTCATATATAATTTCCAACCTGCTAGGACAACTCACTTGTTCTCAACCTGCTAGGACAACTCACTTGTCCTCAACCTGCTAGAACAACTCACTTGTCCTCAACCTGCTAGGACAACTCACTTGTCCTCAACCTGCTAGGACAACTTACTTGACCTCGACGACAGGGCGGTTGTTGGCCACCACCTCCACCTCGATGTAGGCCATCGACTTGCGCGTATCCTTGCCCACCTCCGCCCCCACCTCGAAGATCCCCAGGGATATGAAGTCTCCCCCCATGATGGACAGAGAGGGCGCCGGCAGAACCAGCGAACCTAACCAGGAAGAAACAAGCCGAAGTGAAAGAGATTTTTTTGACAAACATTAAGCTGGAAAAGGTGGTGACATATAAAAATATCATGGCAAATATGATTTTAAGTTGTATCAGTGACACAGGACAGTGAAACACAGATTTGGAAGTGTTAGTTGGCAACGAAAAGTGTTCCGATATTGACATTCATGAATAAAAAACAAATAAATGATGTCAGATGACAAAAGGAGTTATTGAGTATTTAACCAATCAACTATTTGCTATTCAGGTTACCTGGACCGTAGCCGAAGCAGCCCGTTGTGGCACCTCCTTTAGGGGAGAGCGGGGACCCTGGACCGGGCGCGGGGTAGGTCTCAAGGACTTGACGACACTTCCACGACACTGTGAAATTCTGGAAGAGGAAAGAGTGGCCATAAAAAACTATGGCATTGGTGGGCATTGGTATTAATTATTGGTATTAATTAGTATTAATTATAATTATTTGCGTTTACCAGTTCACCCTGACCTCATTATTAACTGTAGTACCCCACCTTGACGTCGGGGCAGCAGTGTCTCCCTACTTTAATAATCCTTCTTGACGTTAGGGCAGCAGTACCTCCTTACTTAGGAGGTACTGCTGCCTCACGAGACTTCTTAGGAGGCAGTGGTGCCTCTTAACTTCAATGACCCACCCTGATGCCGGGGAAGCGGTTTCCCTAACTCTGGTGACCCACCTTGACGTCGGGGCAGTGGTGCCTCCTAACTTCAATGACCCACTCTGATGACGGGAAAGCGGCCCCCTCTAACTCTGATGGTCCTTGACCTCTGGGCAGTGGTGCCTCCTAACTCCAGTGCTGCACCCTGATGTCGGGGAAGGGGTTCCCCTAACTCTGATGACCCACCTTGAGGTCTGGGCAGTGGTGTCTCCTAACTCCAATGACCCACCCTGATGTCGGGGAAGCGGTTCCCCTAACTCTGATGACCCACCTTGACGTCGGGGTAGTCGGGGTCTTCGGAGTAGAGGGCGGGGAACATGTCCGCGGCTTGGGTTGGTCCGCGGACGATGCGGGACACAGAGTTGGACGTCATCTTGCCCACCAGGGGCATGGACACCACCTCGATGTAGGTCTCCGTCTGACGCTGGAACGTCACCGTCGGGTCCAGCTTTTCTGGGTCTGCAAAGTGCGGATGGGAAGCACGTAAAGCATGAGTCTTAACCATATGCCTAGTGATCTAATCTCTCGCGTACGAATATGAATTTGCAAAATACGACGAATACAAATGTCAATGATTACATTAAATGCATCCGTAGACAAAAATTTAACCTTTTATAATGACCGTAACTCTCGCCACCAAGCCCTTTAGTACGGACAGCATTGATGACGGAAAAAGTATTCGTAGAAAACGGGTTGAACTCAAACTCAAAGAGGTCCAGTCACAGGAGCCTAATCCAAGCAACGTTGTGAAAGATTCTAATGCGTCACTGTTATGTGAATGAAACTTTCTTCGCTGTAATTCTAATATATTTGTCAGTCGGTGCTGTTTAGTGTAGAGTATCATGTAGTAGCCGTACTCACCCCACATGGTGAGCGTGTAGAGTATCATGTAGTAGCCGTACTCACCCCACATGGTTGAGCGTGTAGAGTATCATGTAGTAGCCGTACTCACCCCACATCGTGACCGTGTAGAGTATCATGTAGTAGCCGTACTCACCCCACATCGTGACCGTGTAGAGTATCATGTAGTAGCCGTACTCGAGGAACGTCTTAGGCACCACAAACTCAGATCTGTTCCACGTGCCGATGACGTCCATGACGGGCACGGCGTACGTCAGGCGACCCGTGCGGCCGTCCACGTGGAAGATCTGCCAGCGTTTCCTGGGGGGACGTTGAAAGGGGCGTTGAAGGGGGCATTGAAAGGGGCGTTGAAGGGGGGCGTTGAAAGAAGCGTTGAAGGGGCGTGTTTCAGTAGGGATATTAAAACGGGACGCTATAGTGCGGACGTTAAAAGGGGGCGTTGAAGAGGGCCGTTTAAAGGGGGTTGTTCAATGAGGTCGTGAAGAAGAAGCACACAACACAGTAAGACGCAGCACAGTATACGCAGCCGTGCACCACCATATTTGTGCACTAATCAGCCATGAAAGGAACGCCTAGCATATTTCCGGATGACCACCAAGCAGCCGCGCATTAAGCCATCCGACGGTAACCAGCCCGTGACATCATCTTGCTTTAACTATTAGGAGCTTTACGCCATCGTCTGAAGCGAACAGCCCAGAGAGTAATGGTTGTCCACCACTGAACGTTGCATCGAATCATCGCTTCATACCCTGACTTTAGCTCGAACTGTAACTTGCGGACAACGGACTGCGACCAACCAGCCCAGCTCTCCAGTGGAACTGCATGCATCCTGCCGTGCACCACCCGACGGTCACTTCTATCTCACAACATTCGGGGTTATGCTGCAGAAAGCATAGTTCTGTTCCAAAATTTATCGTCCTGCAACGAGTGGCCGTTCGACCGTAGGCTGATTCGACACACGGGATACATATATAAAGACGGTTTGGTGGCGAGCATCATATCCACTGCAAGGCTTCGGCGCGCTCTTTCCGGGTGACGTAAAAATTTTTCGCGTATTGGCAGACGATCCTGGGATATACTATGTCAGGCTACTTTTCTGTGGGCTGATTTATCTAAGTCAATGAATGTGATCTGTCTGTGGCTTGCAGCTGATAATGTTATAGTCCAGAAATGTTATAGGCTACGTTCTTGAGGGAAGGGATCATGATAGTACATTCGAAGCACGGCAGTGGTGGTCTCCGACAGGCGTCCAACAGCCAACAGAACAAGCCTCGGAATTACTTGCATCCTGCATCACCACTACCATATACCACCACCACTCCTGCATCACCACTACCATATACAACCACCACTCCACCTCATCACCACCTAGAGTCACCACTTTGAGTCGCACTTCAAAGTCACCACAACAAACAATCACTTCAAATTACCACCCAGAGTCGCCACCCACTTGGTGAGTTTAGTGACGTTGCAGTGGATGGCAGCGATGGACACGAACGTGTTGTCTACCCCCCTGAACCTGATGGGGGCGGACAGATAGTCCTTCTCGCCGTCCAAGATGGACACGAAGGGCGGGGCGCAGTCGATGTCCGTCACAGGGAACATGAGCAGGTCCTCCGTCTGGCTCAGCAGGTTATAGGCGAACCCCGTCACGTTGAACATGACCTGCCCGTCCTTAGCCCTGCCCGACGCAGGTTAGGGGCGAGAATGGAAGGGTAAATACGTGAAGGTAAGGGAGAAGAGATTAACCCTATAACCTTATGACGAGTTTAGGACTTCGTAGTCCATGGTCAAGCTGATGCTCCATATGATGGTTAGGGGGTATAGATTAACTGGTGATGGTTAGGGGGTATAGCTTAACTAACTGATGGTTAGCCTGCTAGAAACATATAAACTTTTAGCTAACTTAAGATCTTCTCTAACCTTACTTTAGACTCACTCTAGTCCAATATTAGGCATATCTTACGTCCTCTTTAAAACAAAGATATGTCCCAATATCGGCCTACTTTAAGCCTAAGTTAGTCCTTTTTAGGTCTACCATAGGCGCATCTAAGGCCTACTTAAGACCTATCCTCGTAACTCACGCATAAGTCCTGGTGAAGTTCATGGCGATGTCAAAGACGCTGTTGGGAGTGTAGGACGCGTGGCCTACTTAAGACCTACCATAGGTCCTAGTCACGCAACTCACGCATAAGTCCTGGTGAAGTTCATGGCGATGTCAAGGACGCTGTTGGGAGTGTAGGACGCGTGGCTGAAGTTAGTCCTACCATAGGTCCTACTCCGTCCTAGTCTCGCAACTCACGCATAAGTCCTGGTGAAGTTCATGGCGATGTCAAGGACGCTGTTGGGAGTGTAGGACGCGTGGCTGAAGTTTGTCTTACACGTGAGCTCCTCACCGAACGCCTCCAGGGGCCCCCCCAGCCCCCAGTCCACCACCAGACAAGTGCCGCCCCCCACGCTCTCGAACGTCAGCTGCAACAGCTTAGCTTCGCCCTGTGTCATCAGAGTTTTACTAATTTAGTATTTGCATCTAATTTAGATTTAATTAATGAAGTTAATCCAGGAGAATTAATTTCAATTTCAAATATTTACAATTATAATTTTAATTATTCAAATTTAAATTAATTGATTTTTAATTTAAAATTCAATTCCAAATAAAAATATTACTACCGCCAGAAATATTTATATATTAAAATCCTTTATTTCCTGTATAACATAAAGTAGCTGATAGTCAAATAACAAATTCATTCATAAAAAATGTTATCAAAAACGGTGTTGCTGACTTCATAAATACAAAAGATGAACAATTCCAATAGCCCCTGCCTGCCCCAAAGATAATTAAATACTGGCCTCATTGTCCGTAGACTTTTATGCGGGTGCTTCAAAGAACATTTAAATCTAGGTGATATAGGAGGGGGAAACTACTTTATTTGAAGCATACATTCACTTTTCGATCTTCAATAGAACAACGATCGAAGTGAACCGTCGTCGTTAGCGCTATTCATGATGTCGTCTTCTTAATTATCCAAATCTTAATATTTCCGATTATTTATTTACATCAAATTAAATTCAAATCATATCATATCATGGGAGTGGACTATTTTGCAGCTTCCAAATTGGATTACAACCGCAGTACAACATTATAACCACCCGACAACCACACAAAAAACATAAGAAGCATTCGACAACACAACAATCACACGACAACCATTGAACCGCCACACGAAAACCATTGAACAGCCACACGACAACCATTCAACAGCCACACGACAACCATTCAACAGCCACTCGACAACCATTCAACAAGCACACGGCAACTCAACAACAACCACATGACGACAAGTCGACAAGTCTACAACCACTCGACAACTCAACAACCACTCGACAAGTCGACAACCACTCGACAAGTCGACAACCACACGACAAATCAACAACCACACGACAAATCAACAACCACACGACAACTCAACAACCACACAACAACTCAACAACCACACGACAACTCAACAACCACACGACAACTCAACAACTCCACTACCGTGATGTTCAGAAACGTCTCCTGTGCACGGTAGCTAAATTACATATTATTATCATATCTACCTAACTACGGTGAACTGTTCTACTAAGTTCTCCAAAATTAGAGCGAGAACAATTATTTTTTTAATAAATAATATTTTAAATATTTTAGCTATTGAATGCACGTGAAGATTTAACTTACCCACAAATTCATCCAAATAAACTTTTCATTCCAATATTCGTAATCATTTTCAGAATTTTCTTTAAATGCAAAATACGGGAACAAGTACAATTAAGATGAATTAAGGCTGATTAAATTCATGCGATATTGACAAAATGGGAAAATATTTTGTCTTATTCTCTAATGGGCACTTGATTATTTGCTAAGTTAAATAAGTGCTTAAAAGAAAATAATGCGATACGTAATTCATAAAAGGATGATTAAGATAACACGATAATTAGAGTGAAACAGTAAATAGAGTAATATATTAATTAGTATAATAAAATAATATTAATGAGTATAAGAGGGTTATTAATGGTGAGTTTTATGATCGTTACGTTAAATTAAATAAATTGCTAAGTTAAATAAGTGACTGACTATAATAAAATGAAGCGAAATTAAGATAATTTTATATAAGGATGATTAAGATGACAGGATAATTTGAGTAGATAAATAGAGTAATGTACTAATTAGGATGAAAAGATAACGTGATAAAGAGGATAATAGGGTTATTAATGGTGAGTTTAATGATCGTTACGTACGAAGCTGAAGTGATGGTAGAAGGGAACGACCAGAGGGTTGAGTAAATATCGTAATATACTAAATAAGATAATAAAATATTATTAATGAGTATAAGAGGGTTATTAATGGTGAGTTTCATGCACGTTACGTACGAAGCTGAAGTGATGGTAGAAGGGAACAACCAGAGGGTTGAACTTGTCAGCGGGGGTGAAGCTGAAGATGAGCGAGTTGTTGCCGGTGAACCTGACCTCGAACATGTTGATGGTACCTGCTCATGTTCAAGACATGTTGATGGTGCCTGCTCATGTTCAAGACATGTTGATGGTGCCTGCTCATGTTCAAGACATGTTGATGGTGCCTGCTCATGTTCAAGACATGTTCATGGTGCCTGCTCATGTTCAAGACATGTTGATGGTTCTTGCTCATGTTCAAGACATATTGATGGTGCCTACTCATGTTCAAGACATGTTGATCGTTCCTGCTCAAGTTCACGACATGTTCATTTACTAGTATATGTCTAATCTCCTACACTCTGGAAGCTTTCGACATCCTCCTCATTAAATCCTCAGAATTGAAATTTCGTAGTGAGAACTGAGCCTTACCCTGCAGAGTCTTGGGGAAGAAGGTCAGGTTCTTGTCCATGGGGTACTGGTTCTTGATGCGACCGAAGCCTGGGCGGGGTTTGGTGGAGGTGGCAGTCTGGTAGTACCCGTTGATGATGTTCAACTGAAGGATCTGCTCGACGATTGTGACCTGGGGGCATGGGCATGAGATGACGTTAATGATAGGTGATACCCCCGTGCCCATAACGATGGTAGTACCCGTTGATGATGTTCAACTGCAGGATCTGCTCGACGATTGTGACCTGGGGGCATGGGCATGAGATGAGGTTATTGTTAGGTAATACCCCCGTGCCCATAATGATCACCTACCCATTACCCTCAATACGAGTGGAGTTATCGCTCGTATTACCAACGTACCATGACGATCACCTGCATATTACCCACAATACGAAGGGAGTAATCGCTCGTATATTATCAACGGACCCCTAACTATCACCTACATATTACCCTCAGTACTAGGGGAGTAATCGCTCGTATTACCTAGGTGCAAGTAACGATCACCTACATATTATCCTTTAAGTGAGTATGTAAGCTGTTCTCATTTTCATGTTTCATTTTTTAAAGCATTCATGTGTAGTTTGAATACTACACACCACACAGGGCTACATACCACACAGGGCTACACACCACACAGGGCTACACACCACACATGGCTACACACCACACAGGGCTACACATCACACAGGGCTACATACCACACAGGACTACACACCACACAGGGCTATACACCACACAGGACTACACACCACACAGGGCTACACACCACACATGGCTACACACCACACAGGGCTACACACCACACAGGACTACACACCACACAGGACTACACACCACACAGGGCTATACACCACACAGGGCTACACACCACACAGGGCTACATACCACACAGGACTACACACCACACAGGGCTACACACCACACAGGGCTACATACCACACAGGAGGTGTTGAATCCCGACACGAGATTGTATATGAATGCAGCGGGAGTATACACGCCGTCTGCTGTGTAGTTGTGTGTGTATGAAGGGATGAAATTGCCCGTGTGGGTGAAGGGGAGGAGGTCTGGGGTAGTGCCGTCGCCCCAGTCGATGAGGACGCTCGCGTTGGTGGGGAAGTCCCTCCCCTGGACATCGGTGAAGGTGAACGTCGGAACTGCCAGTGAGAGGGGAGGAATCATCATCAACATCATCATCAACATCATCATCAACATCATCATCATCAACATCATCAACATCATAATCAACATCATAATCAACATCATCATCATCATCAACATCAACATCATCATCAACATCAACAGCATCATCAACATCATCATCATCATCAACATCAACATCATCATCATCATCAAAATCATCATCATCAACATCATCATCATCATCAACATCATCATCATCATCATCATCATCAACATCAACATCATCATCAACATCATCATCAACATCATCATCGTAATCAACATCATCATAAACATCATCATCAACATCATCATCAATATCATAATCAACATCATCATCAACATCATCATCATCATCATAAACATCATCCATTCCATTTCGGGCCGTCGATCCCCGTCAGGGACTTGCCCCCCCCCCAGGGTCCCACACCAGGCACGCCCTCTGGTGCCTCGCCATATTGGCTGTCTCTTATACACATCTAGATGTGTATAAGAGACAGTCTTAATTCCGCTAGTTCGTTCTTATTTGAGGCTATATTTCCAACAGCACCATCAATAAACTCTTTAATATTAACCTGAATCTCCTCCAGTGATAATACTTTTTCATCCAAAGATGATACTTTTTCANTGGTCAGGCCCGCCTTACTTCGGCAGACCTTCCCACACCCCTCATATCTACACACCCAGTCATTCATTCTCCTAACATTCCTGTTCAGTCTCGCCACATTTGCCTCCCAAACGTACCCATGCCCTCTCTGACATTCCCACTCATACAAATGCTCCATGCGCTCTTTCACCATGCTCTTCCATCCATCCCTATCTCTGCTCAGCCGCTCCACATCAGTCCAGTCCACTCCCGCTTCCTTCAGCATTCGCTTCCAGTACAAAACAGTCTTCCTCTTACGCCCTTTCATCTTCCCGAAACCTTCCAACCTCTCATACCATCCTAGCACCATCGCTTTCGTCAGTCTCTCATTTCCCATTCTCATAACATGTCTCACTCGCACCAAAACACGCTTCTCTATCTTCCATCTCACACTCTTCACACTCAAACACTTCCTCACATTCCATATGTTCACCCCTTTCGTTTGCATTTGCCGCAGAGGCTGGTCATTCCGATCACTCAGTCATCACCTTCGCAAGCACCTTCCATTTATTACCTCCATATATTCTTTCATTTGTCTCAGTCATCCTCTCATTTGTTTCCACTTTGTATTCTTCCCTCTATTCTCGTTCTTTCAACACTCAGGCTCACTCTGACCCAGACTCACTCTGACCCGGACTCACTCTGACCCAGACTCACTCTGACCCAGACTAACTCTGGTTGTAGACCCAGAACTCTGACCCAGACTCACTCTGGTTGTAGACCCAGAACTCTGACCCAGACTCACTCTGGTTGTAGACCCAGAACTCTGACCCAGACTCACCCTGGTTGTAGACCCAGAACTGGGTAGCGGTTGGTGCCATGGTGAACTGGAGGACGGGGTAGAGGGCCACCACGGTGATGGTGTGGTTGGGTGGTGAGTGGTAGGTGTTGTGCAGGTTGTATGGTGTGGTGGTGATGGTGAAGGTACCGGGGTTGGTGATGGTGAAGGGTACCAGGATGGTGTGAAGGGCACCAGTGAAGGGGTAGTCCGCTGGGCAGGGCAGACGCTTCGTTTAGTGCTTCATATTTATTAGATTAATTACTTTTATTTGTTGTTACATAATTAGATGTTAATTAACTAGTTATTACTAATTAAAATCAATGATTACGTACTTAGATTAATTACCTGTATTGGTTGTTACATAATTAGATGTTTAATTACTTAGTTATTACTAATTATGTAATTAATTATTTGTTTGACATTAAATTATTTCATTTCAATTCTGTTGAACTTTAAATTGTTTAATATTGTCATCACAGCGGTGTCACCATCACAGCGGTGTCACCATCACAGCGGTGTCACCATCATAGTGGTGTCACCATCATAGCGGTGTCACCATCATAGTGGTTTCACCATCATAGTGGTGTCACCATCACAGCGGTGTCACCATCATAGTGGTGTCACCATCATAGTGGTGTCACCATCATAGTGGTGTCACCATCATAGTGGTGTCACCATCATAGTGGTGTCACCATCATAGTGGTGTCACCATCATAGTGGTGTCACCATCATAGTGGTGTCACCATCATAGTGGTGTCACCATCATAGTGGTGTCACCATCATAGTGGTGTCACCATCATAGTGGTGTCACCATCATAGTGGTGTCACCATCATAGTGGTGTCACCATCATAGTGGTGTCACCATCATAGTGGTGTCACCATCATAGTGGTGTCACCATCATAGTGGTGTCACCATCATAGTGGTGTCACCATCATAGTGGTGTCACCATCATAGTGGTGTCACCATCATAGTGGTGTCACCATCATAGTGGTGTCACCATCATAGTGGTGTCACCTTCATAGTGGTGTCACCATCATAGTGGTGTCACCATCACAGCGATGTCACCATCACAGTAATGTTACCATCACAATGATGTCACCATCACAGTGATGTCACCATCACAGTAATGTCACCATCACAGCGGTGTCACCATCACAGTAATGTCACCATCACAGCGATGTCACCATCACAGTGATGTCACCATCACAGTCACTATACTGGGGTCGGTGGTGGTGATGTTGGGGGTGATGGGGGGCGTGAAGACGATGGTGATGGTGGTTGGTCCCCCCACTGAAATGTTCACCCGGAAGCTGGGGGAGTAGCTGGCCCCGGCCCTGGGGGAGGGAGGGGGTGATCAGTAATACGTTATTCCTACCTAAGTTGTGCTCAGTAATGCTATTCCTATCTAAATTGTGCTCAGTAATGCTATTCCTACCTAAGTTGTGATCAGTAATGCTATTCCTACCTAAGTTGTGATCAGTAATGCTATTCCTACCTAAGTTGTGCTTAGTAATGCTATTCCTACCTAAGTTGTGCTCAGTAATGCTATTCCTACCTAAGTTGTGCTCTTAACATATCAACATTGCAACTCACTTCATTCAACGCATTTCAACGCACCAGACGTAGTACGGCTCCTGCAACTCACTTCATTCAACGCATTTCAACGCACCAGACGTAGTACGGCTCCTGCAACTCACTTCATTCAACGCATTTCAACGCACCAGACGTAGTACGGCTCCTGCAAGTTGAGGCTGAAGTTCCAGGCGTTGACGTTGACGTCAAGAACGTCGACGATGACGTCAGTGATGTTGCGTTGGCAGGCAGTCGTGTTGGACAACGTCGCTGACCCAGCGGGCTGCGGGCCAATAGTTTACTACGTCGATGTAAAATGCGTTGTAAAATGTAAGGTAAGTTACTACGTAAATTTACTATTTACCGTCGGTGACCCAGCGGGCTGCGGGCCAATAGTTTACTTAACATGTTGACTACGATTGCTTCATCTTGTACTATTATTTCATTTTCAGTACCATTTTTAAACAGTTTTGCCAGACGGTCATTTTTCCGGACAAATTCCATGATTTAGTTTTTCTCAATTGCGTTGGCCGGCTAAAATTTATGATAGGGGTACTTCCTAATTATATTTTAAATACTGCAAAAAGAAAATAAATGGAATTTTTATAGCAAAAGCTGCAAACAAACTAGCATATATTGAGTTATCGGCCTTTTTTGGCCTTTTTTGTTCTCGGATTTGGCCGATTTTAGGCAACCTTAATTATGTATCACTGCGTCCTGGAGAAATACATTTCGTGGTACGCATATGTACCACTTCGTAGTCAACGTGTTAAGGGCCATTATACCTTACTATTACTTTTGTCATTATTTTACTTAAGGGCCATTATACCTTACGATTACTTCTGTCTTAATATTTTACTTAAGGGCCATTATACCTTACTATTACTTCTACCCGGAATACTCGTATATTTTTATGTTATTCCTATATGTTACTGCGACTTCTGTGCAGTACAGTCAACAGTACATTTACAATGACCAGCAATAGTGGCAATAACAACAATAGTATGGCACTGGATACAAAACAATACTGTAGAAGAAAGTTTTTTTCCAATGTTATATTGAATAAGTGTATAGTATTACATCGTAATAAATAGTACAATAATAATAAGAAAGACTGACATCGGTGACGTCGAGTGTGACGTCATTGTTCACCACCCGACATGTGTGGGCCACCGCCACTGGGGCTTCCTCCGCCACCACCATGGCGGCCACGTGGTGGGTGTCCCCCGCCACCCCGTCCACCTCATCCCCGGGGGCGTACGTCTCCCCGCTTGGGGGGTTGAAATAATGACATTAATGTTATTAATTTAATGGTTATTTAATAATGACGGTATAAATGTTGATTGTGATGTGTCATGATGTTTGTGATGTCTCATTATGTTGGTCGTAATTATATCATTATTCTGCTTAAATATCTAGTTAGTTAAGAATTTAAAAGCAATGAAACGTTAAGTAAATTCATCGTATTTTCATGGAATAGTTACGGAGAAAACGTTACGTTCCAGCATCTGTTCAAAAACTTTCTCAGAAGCAGGTACTCGTAAAATCAGTAACGAAAATTTAATGAAGAAGATTAGCAATGTAAGTAACAAACAAGCGACAATTGAACATAAAAACCTACCGATTTACAAATTTTAGAAGTAAATGAACTGGGCGTATAATTGAGGTAAGGTTTCCGTTTAAAATAATCCAGGGTATTCTGAACAAAGTATCCTGTAACAGCTCTCAGACAGAGTCATGTCGCACTGTTCAGCATGAAGACGCACAAGTGAGTGATCGAAGGCTTAGAAAGTGGCAGGTTCGAACGAAAATTCCTGCCATGGTGTTCAGAAACCAGGGGCCATACTTTCAAAACTCGCTAAGTGAACGTAAGTACTTACGCTTCATTTTCTTGTCTATGATTGGTGGATTTTGCTTGAAAGGCCGTCAATGATTGGCTGATGAACTTACGATCTCAAAACTTTTTTGAAAGTATAGGCCCAGGATGTAGAAGCTGCGTGACATCATTCCGACATACGCTGATGCGCATCGCGCGCAATTGTATTAAAAAACAGTTTAGAGAAGATGAAGTAACGTTTCAATGATGATATGTTGAATTTATGCAACGTTTTCTTTGCTGTTAAATTTGTGTTGTTTGTGATGTGTCATGGCGTCGCGGTGGTTGTGAATAACATCAACAATTCCAAGGGACAATATAAATTAACACAAAACATGTATGATTGAAATTAAAACATTCTTAGTAAAATGAAATTGTTAAATGGTCCTGACTTCATAATATTGTTGACAAAATTTTGGCTCATATAGCATTGTTAATAAAACAGTTGTTGTAAAGAAACATGGGTCAAGATGACTCACCTGACGGCGATGTTGTAACGAAACATGGGTCAAGATGACTCACCTGACGGTGATGTTGTAACGAAACATGAGTCAAGATGACTCACCTGACGGCGATGTTGTAACGAAACATGAGTCAAGATGACTCACCTGACGGCGATGTTGTATACGGCGATGTTGTAACGAAACATGGGTCAAGATGACTCACCTGACGGTGATGTTGTAACGAAACATGGGTCAAGATGACTCACCTGACGGCGATGTTGCCGGTGATCCTGAGGGTGTCGCCGGGGGAGAGGGGGACCGGGGGGGCCAGCACCACCCGCCGCCCCCCCGCCGCCGTGGGGGAGTCCGTCCCCGACGTGACCGTCCCCCAAGTGGGGGAGTCCGCTGGGGGGAATTTTAATGAGTATGGCTCTACTTATGACATTACTCAGAACTGTCTTTAATGAGAATGGCTCTACTTATGACATACTCAGAACTGCCTTTAATGAGTATGGCTCTACTTATGGCGTAAGTCAGAATTGCCCTAGCGCAGATGCTATACTCTACTTAACTTAAGGAGGACAAGGTTTCGAGGACAATGTTCTACTTAACATAGAAGACGAGCTTCTACTTAACTTAGAAGAGGAGGTTCTACTTAACAAAGAAGACGAGCTTTTACTTAACCTAGAAGAGGATTTTATCTCGGCTATTTACAGACGGATCACTTTGAAACTTGGTACACATATCCAAAACCAAAAAATAGACAGCTTTTATTTATGTCAGTTTTTCGAAGAAAATGACAGAAAACGTGAAATTCTTAGAAAACTGCCAAAAAAGGAGTACTGTAGAAATCTATCTCCTCCTAGAGTTTTGAAGTTATAGCGATGAGACATAAACCATTCGATTCGCAATTAAATTATCTATCGATGCAACGTATTTTTTTTAATTTCGAATTTTTGTGGATGTGGGAGCATTTTCCCAAAAATTTCGAAAATTTTTCGATTTTTCCTATTTCCCACTCCTTTTTTCAAAATATTTTCAAAACTATAGCGAAATTCAAAAAAAGCTACGTAGCATCGATAGATATTTTGATTTCGAATCGAATGGTCTATCTCCCATTACTGTAGCTTTAAAACTCCAGGAAGAGATAGATTTGCCGTGACAATAAGTTAACTTTTCAGGACAGCGCGACAAAGTCCCGCGCGCATCGAAATAGCAGCTCAATGCAGTAAGGATACAAAACTAAGCGTTACTGGAGCTTGATTTAAGTCAAGGATGGTGGTGTAGCACAGCACCCCGTACGACGCCAGTCGGGCTACTGAAGCTCAGCTCTAGCAGACACCCTATTTATGTGCACTGCAGCTAATTTCCCCTATCTAATTTGTTAAAGAACTCCCCACCCCCCTCCCTTGCGGAATCTGTTGTGAACGCATAAATCAACGTACAGAGATGGTTTTGGTACCGTTGGATAGCTCAGAATGTCCGCTTTAACATGGGACTAAAAACCGGAAAAGCCAAAATCCAGAAAGTTGACCGGACGCTCCCCTTAACTTAGAACACTAGGTTCTACTTAACACAGAAGACGAGGTTCTACTTAACACGGAAGACGAGGTTCTACTTATCACAGAAGACGAGGTTCTACTTAACATAGAAGACGAGGTTCTACTTAACTTAGAAGACGAGGTTCTACTCAACACAGAAGACGAGGCTCTACTTAACACAGAAGACGAGGTTCTACTTAACACAGAAGACGAAGTTCTACTTAACACAGAAGACGAGGTTCTACTTAACTTAGAAGGCGAGATTCTACTTAACACAGAAGACGAGGTTCTACTTAACATAGAAGACGAGGTTCTATTTAGAAGACGAGGTTCTACTTAGAAGACGAGGTTCTACTTAACTTAGAAGACGAGGTTCTACTTAAACTAGAAAACTAGGATCTATTTAAAACAAGACGAGGTTCTACTTAACTTAGAAGACGAGGTNTGATAACGATGATAGGCGCTCCATGCGGGCCCCTGGGGGGATGATAACAATGATAGGCGCTCCATGCGGGCCCCTGGGGGGGATGATAACAATGATAACAATGATGGGAATGATAGGCGCGGTATAAGAGGGAGGAAGGGAATGATGGCAGCAACGATAACACAATAACACAATGATGTTATTAATATAACATTATCATTAACATACATAATATAACATAACATTATTAACATAATAATGTAGTGGCGTGACCACGTTATGTTGGTCCGTCGTCCATTCTTAGCCCCCAGGCTCAATTTTAACAAGAACTTTTACAACTGCTTGCTGGTTTCGAGCCCCAAATCTACATCAATAACGTGATGTATAACGCGTGTTACACATCACATGTTCATGTGATGTATGACGCGTGTTATTCAGCACGTGTTCATGTGATGTATAACACGCGTTATACATCACATTATTGATGTATAACGCGTGTTACCCATCTTATGTTCACGTGATGTATAACACGTTTTATTCATCACGTATTCATGTGATGTATAACACGTGTTACACATCACATGTTCATGTGATGTATAACACATGTTATACAACACGTTATTGATGCATAACACGCGTTATACATCACCCATATATCACATTCCCCCCAACACGTGGGGGTGAACTCACCCAGCGAGGCGAAGGTGCCCGGGACGGTCTGGTCGGTTGAGGTGAATGAGTAGGTGAATACGTGCTGGGGCTCCCCCAGCGTCACGGACACGTTACATGAGTAAGACTCATCGGGCTCCCACACCTGGTGGGTGAATGAGTCATCAACATTGAAGTTAGTCATCCTGACTCAGTTTGAACGGGCGAATTTTTTAACTTTTTTTTAACGGCGTTTTTAACGTTAACGGCGGAGAACATTTTTGGGGGATCATGGGTAACCCACGGTGGGGGATCATGGGTAACCCACGGTGGGGGATCATGGGTAACCCACGGTGGGGGATCATGAGTGACCCACGGTGGGGGATCATGAGTGACCCACGGTGGGGGATCATGAGTAACAATGAGTAACCCACGTCGGGGGTATCATGGGTGACCCACGGTGGGGGGATCATAAGTAACCCACGGTGGGGGATCATGGGTAACCCACGGTGGGGGATCATGGGTAACCCACGGTGGGGGATCATGGGTAACCCACGGTGGGGGATCATGGGTCCCACGGTGGGGGATCAGGGTGACTACCCACGGTGGGGGATCATGGGTAACCCACGGTGGGGGATCATGGGTAACCCACGGTGGGGGATCATGAGTAACCCACGGTGGGGATCATTGGTAACCCACTGTGGGGATCATGGGTGACCCACGGTGGGGGATCATGGGTGACCCAAGGTGGGGGATCATGAGTAACCCACTGTGGGTGATCATGGGTAACCCACGGTGGGGGGATCATGGGTAACCCATGGTGGGGGGATCATGGGTAACCCACTGTGGGTGATCATGGGTAACCCACGGTGGGGGATCATGAGTAACCCACGGTGGGGATCATTGGTAACCCACTGTGGGTGATCATGGGTAACCCACGGTGGGGGGATCATGGGTAACCCATGGTGGGGGGATCATGGGTAACCCACTGTGGGTGATCATGGGTAACCCACGGTGGGGGGATCATGGGTAACCCATGGTGGGGGGATCATGGGTAACCCACGGTGGGGGATCATGGGTAACCCACGGTGGGGGGATCATGGGTGACCCACGGTGAGGGATCATGGGTAACCCACGGTGGGGGATCATGGGTGACCCACGGTGAGGGGATCATGGGTAACCCATGGTGGGGGATCATGGGTAACCCACGGTGGGTTACGGTTGGCCACCACTTGACACTCACCAGAGGACACATGACCTTGTCCACGGTGGACACGCCAGGGTTGGCCACCACTTGACACTCACCAGCGGACACATGACCTTGTCCACGGAGGACACGCCAGGGTTGGCCACCACTTGACACTCACCAGCGGNAACGTGAGCAGGAAATAACGATGAATAACGTGAGCAGGAAATAACGATGAATAACGTGAGCAGGAAATAACGATGAATAACGTGAGCAGGAAATAACGATGAATAACGTGAGCAGGAAATAACGATGAATAACGTGAGCAGGAAATAACGATGAATAACGTGAGCATTAAATAACGAGGAATAACGTAAGCAGGAAATAACGATGGATTGCATTAAACATGTAGTAAATATTCTAGATGTTAGAGTATATTCATTACACTTACTTTAGAACTTAGAATGAGTCTATTTAACAATAAGTGACTAATATCATTATTATAACATATTTTATAATAGTTACTATGATATTCACCATGCAATATATAATATTTAGTACATAGCATATAATCTATAAAAACAGAGTACCCCTCACCCCAGATGGTGTAGTTCCCCGGCAGGACATACAATTTACAATAATAATTCACTACATTAGGCATATATCTATTCTAACATATTTTATTATACGTACTATAATCTTTAACATACAATATATAATATTAACTACATATCATATAATATATAAATATAGAGCACCCCTCACCCCAGATGGTGTAGTTTCCCAGTATGATGTACATGGTCTCCAGGTAGACACATATCCATTCTAACATATTTTATTATGCGTACTATAATCTTTAACATACAATATATAATAAAATATTCACTACATAACATATAATATATAGAGCACCCCTCACCCCAGATGGTGTAGTTCCCCGGCAAGATGTACATGGGCTCCAGGTAGCACATATCCATTCTAACATATTTTATTAACGTACTATAATCTTTAACTTACAATATATAATATTCACTACATAACATATAATATATAAATATAGAGCACCCCTCACCCCAGATGGTGTAGTTCTCCGGCAGGATGTACAATAATAAAATATTCACTACATAACATATAATATATAAATATAGAGCACCCCTCACCCCAGATGGTGTAGTTCCCCGGCAGGATGTACATGGTCCCCAGGTAGGACGCTGTGCCCCCCGAGGCGTTAAGGTACACCGGGGGGGCGCCGTCCCCCAAGTCCAGCGTGAACTGCTCGGTCGCCTGCGCCGGGGACGCTAAGTCCACACCCAGCGTCCCGCCCACGGTCTGGAGGTTATGTTGTGAGGGTAATAAGAGGGTAATGTGAGGGTAATGTGAGGGTAATGTGAGGGTAATGTGAGGGTAATAAGAGGGTAATGTGAGGGTAATACGAGGGTAATGTGAGGGTAATAAGAGGGTAATGTGAGGGTTATGTGAGGGTAAGGGTAATGAGAGGGCAATAAGAGGGTAATGTGAGGGTAATAAGAGGGTAGTGTGAGGGTAATACGTGGGTAATGTGAGGGTAATACGTGGGTAATGTGAGGGTAATGCGTGGGTAATGTGAGGGTAATACGTGGGTAATGTGAGGGTAATACGTGGGTAATGTGAGGGTAATACGTGGGTAATGTGAGAGTAATGCGTGGGCAATGTGAGGGTAATAAGAGGGTAATGTGAGGGTAATGTGAGGGTAATAAGAGGGTAATGTGAGGGTAAT